CTTAAAGATATTAGAGATCTTTTCCTTTTCTACATATTTTACCCATGAACTAATGATATCAAATGTTCATACCAAAAACAAACTCTATGGAGAGATTTAGGGCCCAATACTGATCCCCCAAAAACTGATATTCAAAAAATTACTCTCCTACATCAAAATGAACCACCAAAACAGGGATTCTGCATGCATTTCCCCTTATTTTGATCACTAACTAGTCATCCATGCAATATGCTTTTTATATAAAAATTTGCTGTGTGAGATTTTATGAAGACAGAGATATCAGAGGCTTCTTGTATTTTTCCATCACTTGGCTTTGAAGTATCAGCTATATGTCAAAAACAAAAGACAAAAAAAAAATATATATATATAATTCTTTCATTTGGAACTGTACTTGCCCCAAAAGCTTGTACCACATAGTGATAGGCCATATTTTGTCTTTTCCACATATAAAAAAGTAGAAAAATTAGAAACCTCCCATAAAAAGAATATGTTACATGAAGCTTATTTGTAAGGGGGACGATATCACCATCACCTTGTTTAGAGTAAATCAAATTCAAAGTTTAGCTATTATGTAATTTTCTCTTGCCTTATTAAGTTATTGTTTGTGCTCATTTTATTTCTTTGGCCTTGCTGTAAAATGAGAGGAAAAAATAAAAATACTGAGAAATAGGTATGTTAACCTCTTGCCGACGGGCATGGCATGTATGTACATGCCATGTCCACTGTGAGTCGACTTGTTTGATTGTCTTTACACATAGATGGCTACACTTGTACTAAGTCACCAGTGAGCCAATTACGAGTACTGCCTGTTTCGCCCATTCACCCTTTTCATTGATTTACGAAAATATTTAACACTATCTTATTTTTCTGTTAAAAATGACACCATCTATATTTATAGCACTAGTAAGAATACATTTTTTCCCGCCAATTCAAGGAAAGGTGAAATCAGGACTAGCAGATCCATCTATGTACAGAGACATTTCACAAAAATATAAAAAATGAGAAAAGCATTTTCCCCATTTTTTATTCATTTTCCCCGGCGGCAATGGGTTAATTTTACATCTAAATTCTGATTTGGAAATTAGTAATGAATACTGGAATATCCAATATTTATTTAAGGTTTATGTTGTTCCCCTAAACTATGGTATGAAGCATTTCATTTTAAACCGGAATGCAGATTTTTCATGAATTTTTGAATAAACAAGTTGCAAAGGTCTACCACAGTTCAAATATTATCATCTAATTAACTGCAATGAACACTTACATTGCCACTACATGACATAAAGGAATTCTTGTAACTACATAATCACAGTGTTCCCTTGATTCTCTTGTTACAAAAAGTCAGAATAGATATACTTAACTAAAACTGGCATATTTGGCAATGTCGCCTCTTTACCTCCCATGCCTCATGTGTGGTTGGTAAGCTTACAAGCTATACAGCATGCCATGCAAGAACTATTTTAAGATTTATCTAATTTTGAAAGAATTACACCCAAAATACACCTCTAATTATGAATTTTGTTATTATTTACTTATTACTATTTTTTGTGTGGGGGGGGTGGGGGCTCCCTTTGCTATAGAGGACCTTGGAACTTCTTTAAAATATTTTACCTGTGTTCCATATATAATGAACAAAGGTAGCAAGAAAAATGCTAAATTTTATATTTTCATGTAATTCAGAAAGCACTGAAACATTAGATAAATTTATAAGAAATAAATATTATTTATGCTTAGTAGACCATACACCAATTATTTAAATATTTTATGCTATTTTACAAGAATATCATTGATCATTTATATCATTATACTTGAAACAGATAACATTTTGTTTTCAAACTCCGAACATTTTTTTTAACAGAAGTTTATGTATGTAATTTTATTTGGTTTAATTATTCAGTTCTATAGCTCCATGAAACTATTTCTATCAGTGCTTCATGTATTACCGAAGTATATAAAAAGTGATAGATAAAAATGTGAATAACAATGGAAACAAAAAAAAAAAAAAAAAAAATTCTTTAAAAATCTTTTTTTTTTTGGATTGTAATTATTAAAACTTTTACAATTAATAAAATGCAGTAGTAATATAATAACAATTAGTGAAATAAATGACATAAGATACAGCTCACACACTCTCACTCTCACTCACTCACTCTCTCTCTCTCTAAAAGATGCAAAGGAGAGAAGTGAGGCCCTAGATCCCCATGCAGCTCAATTGATTGTGGGCTTTAACCCATTGCCGCCGGGGATGGCATGTACGTACATGCCATGCCCACTGTGAGTCGACTTGTTTGATTGTTTTTACACATAGATGGCTACACTTGTAATAAGTATCCAATGAGCCAATTTCGAGTACTGCCTGTCTCGCCCGTTCACCCTTTTCATCGATTTATGAAAATATTTAACATTATCCTAGTTTGCTGTTAAAAATAACACCATCTATATTTATAGCACTAGTAAGAATATGTTTTTTCCCGCCAATTCAAGGAAGGGTGGAATCAGG